CCCGATTAACATATAGGCATATTCTTATTTCAAAAATCCTTTCGGGCTCCGCCCCAGTGGCTCTGGAGTTTCTCATGTTAACCTTATGAGAAATGGAATTACTGTATTGAATCTTAACAGCTGTTTCAATTAAACAAGTTGGTTCTGTTCTATGATGTTCAATAGCATTAAAGTTACAAGGATTACCAACAGGGTGCAGCACTATTATTTCTTTTACACTTATGATAACAGCTAATTTGCAACCAAAAGGTGAGTGAGCGCAGCGAACGAACTTCAACCTGGAGGCGAGTTAGCATAGCGAACGAGCTAACCTGAAGGCAAGTGAGCGCAGCGAACGAGCTCCAACCTAAAGGTGAGTGAGCGTAGCGAACAAACTTCAACCAGGATGTGATTGAGCCATGCGAATGAGATAATCTTGAAAATTAAGAAGTTAAACGGGGCAAAGCCCGCGGGTTACAGCTAGTAATATTATATGTTTAAGTTATTTTATTATTAACTTTTTGCAATTTGCAGTGAATTCCGCACCTTTTCTTAACTATTCTTGACTTGATGACAGTATTTGAAAGTTAAAACAAATCATTATGAGGACCAATGTTCAAATCATTGTTTTTTAAAGGTTTCTCTCTACTTAAAGAAATTAAAAAAATTTAAGAATAATTTTGTTAAGTACAAACATTTTTCTGTAATTAGTCATATTGTCAGTACAATCTGGGATGAGAGCCTGGCAATTCATTCATTATCTTCTGTAGGCGACATCCTTTTAAGGGTAAGGAAACTGTTTTTCATCACTCCGTAACGAAAGTAACTATTTTCGATAACAGCTGACATCAATGAAAGTAGCCGTTTCCCAAGCTCTAATTTAGGGCGAGGAAAAATCGATCAGCTGATTTTCCCTCGCTCTAAATTTACTTTCGTCGCTCTCAATTAGTTCTCCATTTATTCACTACGCGCGCTAGTGTTTTGTTACAGTTTAATTTAATGATTTGAATCAGCTGTTTTTATTGTTTGACAATCTAAATGTAAACATAAACAGGCATAAGCTTGTTTTGCTGTGTTTTTAGCTTAGTGCGTATTTAAAAGCGGCCAAAATATGTCTATTATTTCGGACGATTTATCGAAGAAAGCTTTAGAGATAACCAAAAACCTCCTTCCAGAGAAATCGAGAGAGAGGTATAATGAGGAGTTCAGGAAGTTTATGGACTGGTGCCAAGGACACAATGTTTTACCAAAGAATGTAAGTGACGAAGTTTTATTAGTATATTTATCTGAGAAATCTAAAAGCATGAAACCAACAACGTTGTGGAGTAAATTTTCTATGATAAAGAGTGGTTTGAAATTAAAAGAAAATGTGGATGTATCAAAATTTAACAAATCTCTAGCATTTCTTAAACGTCAATCAGTGGGTTATCAACCTACAAAAGCTAAGGTTTTTACTGAAGACGAAATTCAAAGATTCATGGTTAACGCTCCTGACAATGAATGGCTATTGAGCAAAGTCATCCTAACGCTCGGTATTTATGGAGCTTGTCGAAACCACGATCTTATAAATTTAAAAGTAGAAGATATTACAGACAATGGCAGTTTTTTTGTCGTGTTTCTCAACGATGGCAAAACACACATTAAACGCAGTTTTACCATAACCAATGACAACTGTCCATATAGACCATGTGATTTGATTCGCAAATATTTGTTATTGCGCCCCAGACAAATGAAAAGTAACCGATTTTTAATTGGTTACAGGAAGGGTAAATGCGTGGGACAAAATGTAGGGGGTCACACAATCAGTTCAATCCCAAAAAAGGTAGCAGAATACCTTAAATTAGACGAACCGGAGCGCTATACTGGACACGCCCTCAGGCGTACCTCAGCCACCATGCTAGTTGAGGGAGGAGGGGATTTACTTGCCCTTAAATCACACGGAGGTTGGAAATCCTCTAATGTCGCAGAGAGTTACATAGAAAATTCCATTGGAAGAAAATTACAACTGTCAAGAAAACTGTTTAAAAATCCGCATGCAATGAGTTCAACAGCTGCTGAGAATACAAACAGAAATGTTGTAGAAAAAACACATTCAGGAAGCCAAATAGATTTTTTTGACATTGATCATGTGTTTAACAACTCAGAAGATGAAGAATGTCCTCAGAGAAAAGTAAGAAAAGTTGATGAAACAAACACGACCACTACAAACGTTTCAACGATTCAAGAACTTCAGAAAAAACTTTTAAACGAAGGAGTGAATGTCTCCAACAATGAAAACTGTACAATAAACATAACCATAAACTTCTAATTTTTTGATTGTTAAGTAGGTTCCCTTTAGATTTTTTTATGTTTAAAAAAAGATTAATCGAGAAATATACAAAGGTTTCCTTTTAGAAGATTTTATTTTGATGTTTAAAATAAATAATTTAGAAATAAACTAGTTGTAATATTACTGAGGTCTGTTATTCTGTGTTTGTGTATTTTTGCGTCGTGATGAAAAGTATCGTTCATAACTCGTACCGAAAGTTATTTTCCGGCTCTTGCTCCATTATTCCCGTCCTCGGCTTCGCCTCGTACGTGAAAATAGCTCTCACATACTCGGCTTCGCCTCGCATGTGAAATTGGATTTTCCTGTGTTCGGCTTCGCCTCACACAAAAACTTGAGCGCGCTCCGGAAAATGCCACTTTCGGTCCTAGTAATGAAATATACTATTACCCATTGGAAGAACACGAAAGAGCAAACATCTTGATATGAAAATGTTGTTCCATTTACTTTTACTTACTTTTTCAATGAAATGGCGACCATACAAATTAGGTATTTTAAGCCAAGTATAAATAGAAATGAGTGTAGGATGAGTGGCGCGATCTTGTAGTCTTGTTAGTGACTAAGGCCGACATGACAGTTTGCAAAGCTGTTTGTAATACAGTTTCGGATCGGTCTTTTTGGCCCCTTCCACTGCAGTGATCAATGTGGTGGTGATTCATGGACATTAATCGCCACCTACGTACTATACCTACGCCACCGCCTATCGTCTATCCGTTCGTCTTTACCGCAGTCTGGTGTTAATTTCCCCATCGGTCACTGCTGTCTGGGAATTCTGCACATTACACGGATCCCTGTAAATGCCCCCTTCAACGTTCGATCGCAGTGAGCGACGTGATGACCTTCCACTCTACATGTCCTCTACATGGACTCATCTACATGTCCACATGTACCTAATCCCAGAGGAATCTAGTAAAACACAGAGATACTTGTGTTATCGCGGTACTTTGACGGAATACACCTGCCACTGTAAACTAGGGTTCGGATCACCCACCTAGCAGTTACAGGCTGAGGCATCGGCCACACCTGGTCTTCACTGCAGGATGGGTTATCATGACCCCAATCGTTACTACAGCATGGGGTGGGGTCTGCCCTGTCTCAGATACAGGATGAAATTAACCGCCCTACCTCTCTTTGCAGTAGGCTGAGGCTCATATGACCCCACCTGGTCTCCGGACATGCTCTAAATCAGTACTACAGCTGAGAGTTACCCATCTTCTCGGTCGTCCCTATCTGGTTTATCACACGGACTCATGGAACTATCCCTTCCACCACAGTAAGCCGCTTGTTGGCCGTTCGTGTACATTTGCCACCCCCGATGTCGATAGTCCCATGAATGCTTACATCAAGGGCAATTAGCCCTAGGGTTTATTTAGCGCCAAGAGTCACTAGGTCTAGTGTGGTGGGTCAATCGTCACTTCAGTCAGGTTTATCACACTACCACAGCTGCTGAAGCAACACTGAGTCCACGCTGTCTTACTAGTCCCGCGTGTTCATCGAACGTCACATATTGGCCAATTGCTAGTAGTAAATTTTGTTACAAATATTCCTAAAATCAACCATTTTTTACCTTTTCTAGGGCAAGACCCCTTAAACCCCATTTTTCTGGGGGTTATTCCATACCATAATGGTTATTCTAAATTCATCTATCTTTCCCATATGGAAAAGATAGGCACACACCTTTGGCTCTGAGATAAATTAAAATAATTTATAAGATTTCCACCACAGTCCTGTGAACCAAGTTCCCTGCCGGCGTATATCTAAACGGCAGAGGTGAAAGGTCTGGACTAATCTAAGGCGGATTAGTGTTGTCTCGTTTATATTAAAAAAAAATTAATTATGTCCTTTAAACATGCATTATGTGTGTGTTCTGCATTTAATTTGTACAAACAGGCGAGCTAAACTGAAGATCAAGTGTGTGAATAACAACGTGCCGTGCCAATGTAAAAAATGCACGTGTAATGTGTGTCGGCCGCTTGAGACTCACCCGTCCAGAGAGAGTTATTGCGAAAAAAAAGTGTGGGGTTGCAATATTCTGATTACCATATTGATTCTGATAAATACTTATCAGTTATCACCACATAGTCCGGATTAAAACATCAGTTAGCCATATTGCTAATAACTGACATATGATTTCCACCCTAAAATCTGTCAACAACCCCTTGGAATCGTTTATTTCTACCTAGAGCCGAAAATGAGGTTTTGCCGGCTCGAGAAAGAACTTAAAACGATTGACAGCTGCAAAACCTATTCAGCCCGTGGTACAAACCCCATTTTTCACCACACTATACAAAATTGAGAAAATATATATAATAAATGCATACTACACAAATACAACTTTGAGGTTAGAGAAATCAGCAATGTTGACAATAAATAGTTGCTAGGCAGTGCAGCGGTGACAATAAAAAAGTCTATTGCAATGCATATGGATACTGTGTGTGTACTTGTTTAATGTTTTAAGTAAATAAGCGAACCGCTGATTTTACGGCCCTAGCCTCCAAATAACGTTTGTAAAACAGCTAAAAACATCAAAGTGTGGTGATAAAAGATTTTTTTTCTACAGCCACTACCAGAGTGTTTCTATCCCTACACCCAGATACTTAATATTAAAAATATGCAAACACAGTTTAAAAGATTATTGCAGATTTAAAGACTATCATTAATTTAAAACATTCAAGAGAGTACAACAAAACACAAATTAAATTAGAAAGTTTTATTTTATTTTACAAATAATAAATGAATATGTACAAAATATTTATACCACAAGTACAAGGGAACTAGTAACATGGGAAAACACATAAAAAAACCACTACTATGAATTATATTAACATAACATATTCTATCAAATACCCATGTTTGTTGATTAAAGTACTGAACGGGATGACTAACGTGGCAGTAACAAATAAATGCTCAATCAGAAGAAAATAACATTTGGCACGTATACAATCTGATTAATAAGATAAAAAACAATGAAGATCGTTTCTAAAAAATAAAACAAATGTTACAACGTATATTTTTACAAGGAATTTTTATTAATCTTTTTAACAGAAACATATCAAGCAAATATTCGTTCTATTTGTACACACAACGAAATTAAGTGTTTTCAACGTAAAATGAGATTTTATGAAAGTAGGATTGACTCTTTATGTAGTAACTGATTACGTTTATAACTTGTGTCATTGCAATTACAATTTTAATAAATTAAGGTAATATGGTATGCTTTTCAACAGTATGTGCTTGAGCACGACTTGTTGACTTTGACATTTAACTATGTTTACAGAGATACAAGTAATGAATGAGGATTCATTAAGTGATCTTTCCTGATTATCGACATCTTGTATCGCCAGTGAATATTTTGTTGACAATTTTAAGTTACTAGTTTACTGATTTCACATTCACAATCCTGTTGAATCAAAGATCACAAGACCTCATGTGTCAATATTTCCTCTCTTGAAATTCAATAAACACGAGCAAGCGAAAAGAAGATACATCTAAATTACACACACAGTAGTAACTTTTGTTGTAGCTTCGATACAAATTGCTTCTCAAATCTACTGAAAGCACCATAAGTAGCAAAAAGGTCAAATGTAACCGATCACAAGCACAAAATATTTAAATAGTCAAGTGTTCCACCATTTGTCATTCCCAAGACAACAAAAACACGACCGTAGAATAGCGATACCGTTACAACAAGTCAAATTTATATTGTTTGGATCAAATGTAATATTATGTACCATTAAACAGTATGACAAGAATACAACAACGTCAATACCAATATTAATTTCCTGTCCCAAATCTATCCAAGAAATACATAGAACCTTTTTAAAAATTCAATTTTTACTGCGTAGTTTCCAACTATTTCTGTGGTCGTACAATTCAACCGACAAAAATAAATACTTAGCTCTGACCAATAAAACTGGACTAAGTAGATACATGTAAAACTTAAAAAATGTACAAATTATATCACAATATGAAAACTAAAAGTAACAGGTTAAAGGGAAAAATACTGTCGACCGACAGAGACAAAACTTAACGATAAAACTAACAAAATATAGGATTCAAAAAACAAAAGAAAATCAGGAAAATGTCGAATCCGCTCTTGCATTCGTCAAAATCATCTGTCGATCTGTCAGACAGAACGAAAAATGCAACGTAACCTTTTATCTGACCAAACGGGGGCTTAATCTAACCGAGAATTTGTACAAATAGTTAACAATCGAGAGTTATGTACAGAGTGGAACTAAGAAGACTCAGGCTCCGCGGCTTGGTCCTCTTGTATGACGTCTGCGTAGCCTTGAGAAACGAGCTCTTGGTTCAACAACACCACTTTGGTCTCGTAACCGCTCTGCAACACAGACAATGTACAACTTTCTGTTCTGTTAAGAGTAACAACGATTAATCAAACCATTATTCATTAAACACAAAAGAACTGTCAACAATAAATACAAATAGGTCAATAAAGAAAAGACCTACTCAAAATATAGTACTACTAGACCCAATGTTTGTTGATTTTAAATCTAGTATTATAGCAATTTTTTTAGTATTGCTTGAAGTGGATGACATGGAGCTGTTTTGAATAAGACGAGGGAATCAACAATGTGTGTGTTGCCAACACCAATAAGACTTGCTAACATTATCAAACCAGAGTTCTTAAATTTAATTCTTCTATTAACCCCTGGACCGTAATTTTCACGTTTTCATTTTTTTTTCTTTCACAGAAATCAAACGTAACAGAAATTTTACAGTAGGCCAAAGAAATATGTTCTACCGGTGGAAAATCTGTTTTAAAATCAACAGACATTTTTGGATAAACCACAATTTTTTATTGCTTCAATTGCATTTATGAAACTAACAAAAATTACTTGTCATTGGCCTTCTAGTCTCCTTTAGCGTGAACCCTGTTGAGCGGCAGCAATACACCTACTAAGATACGACAGTTGGGAAATAGTCTTTACACTTCAGGCGCCCAAATATCAGGTTTGCAAGTAGTTTGGCAATCGTCCGCAAGAAAGCGCGTTCTTCGCAGAGCTTGACTTTCTGCTTTTTAGCTTTTCCTAAGTAAATTTTTCTGAAAACTTCATATTTGTTTAAAAAATCTGTTGAAACAATCATTTTGGTGTCCAAATTGTTATTCTACGTCCAACCGTTGCGGAGACATTTAAAGTGCTAAACACCGTACGTTGTCTAATGTTATTCTTATGGAGACTAATTAAAATTTGATGAAACTTGGCATGTGGCTTCATCTAGTACTGGTATATTGATATTTGAAGATAAAAGATGTTTATGTTGATTTTACCCGTAGCAGCAAAACTGAATACTCCGCCACAACTGGTTTTTCTAGGAGGAGCACCCACCCGCGGTCGCCCCACTCACTCGTAAAGCGTGGACATTTTTAATACTGCTATGTCACGTCTTAGGTTTCAGTAGTCATTGGCTTTGGTAATAAAGGTAGCCGCCCCACCCATATACTATGCCCGGTTTAGGATGGTGACCCAACTCTTGGTTGGCCATAGAATGTCCAGAATATTGTTTAGTCCTGTGACTCTCAGCACTGGCTTGTACTCTCTCCAACTTGTTGTTGGAAGCCCTCGTCCTACAAGCCATCCAAATTGTACAGTAGACGGCTTAACCGACCCTAATGGGACCGGACCTAGGTCGGATAACTGAAAAGGTCGGTTAAAATGGGCAATCCTTAAAATCATAACATAATGAAGTGCTATTCATTTGGAATTATATAATCATTATTTTGAAGTCATACTTGCATTATTTATAAAATAAACTACTCTTATATCCTTTTTCGTTTCGATAGAAAAGTAAAAAAACAAACACAAAACACGATTAAGCCAAATAGGCCTACTTTCAGTGGAATATATTATAGTACTAGGCACGAGTCAATAAAAATTCCCATTTTAATAACTTTAGTATTGTAATGTATTATTTGATGCTTTCCAAATCCATACAGTACAGAACCTTTTGTCAAAATTAAAGAACCAACCATTTTGTTACAAGACAGGATGTTTATTTATAGCCTCTCAATGGAGGCTCGAGGCACAAAAACTATCTTGACCTTAGAGTTGTTAACCTTCCTTCCCTGCCCTCCCTACAAGTTGCGTTGTTTGTTTACTCCAGCGATAAGATAATCAGTTCTCAAAATTGTAACGCACTTTCCGATGTTATAAATTTTCCGCAAAGATAACAAAGTGACATTATGCTATATTTTTTGTTATCAATACAAAATAACTTAATCTTAGTCATATCCTGTGGAGATAAGCGTATGGTTCAGTTCTCATCGCCCAGCGTGGGAGCGGAAATGCCGAGATTCCTAGAATGCGGCGGTTAAACCGAACTGCTCTCAAAGCAAGGTCGGTTAAAACAAATTGTATTATTTTACGATCGAAGGCGGATAATCCGATTATTGGTTAATACGATGTCGGTTAAGAGGGGGTCTACTGCACAATATTTAGAGTATTTTATTTCTCAACAGGAATACTTAATAATTAATTGCAAACAACAAATTGAGAATCACTATTTAACTTACCGGGTCTGTGAGGGATTGGTAGAACTGGGTACAGTATAGGTAGACAAGTGGCAGCCCTGCTTCTGTGTAGTCGTACACCTGCGCCTGAAGTGTCTGGTTGGTAGTCATCAGTTGGACAAACTGTCTGGCTTCTTCTGACCAACACTCCTCACCACCTACAACATCAACCGGTTGGTAATACTGACTTATGCTTCGGGTGGGGTCAGGTCAGGTTAAAAATATTTGCCCTCAGGTATAGTAACAAAATTGTGTTGCTTTGGAAAGTGTAACGAATGACATTTTAAAATCATTATTATATATATATACATAATAATAAAATCGGTTTACGTACAGTAATATTGTACATGACCACCCCAAAATCTTGGTGAAAATGTAAACATCTGCTATCCCATTAAGTTCTTAACACTTCACGGCTAAGACCATTTTCCTAAACCGCATTCCCTATCATAGTTACCGTGGATGCCGCACCGTCCAAGAGAGCCTACACAAACATGATGTACAATGTATTAATGACTAGTGCTTGCGTAAGTTTCAAAGTTCTAGCTCTTATCCTGTAGCAGTAATATGCCATTAAAACATGCACTGCTAGATGGCAGCAAATGTGTCCATCAGGATGGCCATTGAGTATTCCCGTGGCTGCAAATGCGTCCACGTAGCCGTGAACGTGTTAAACGCCTTCAAAGGTCATGGCGACATCATCGTTTACCACAATCGCAGCAAACCTAAAACATCATACCGTACGCAACTAAGGCTAAATCGTCACTTTTAGACCGTGCATGTCAAATTTCACATTATTTATTATTGTAACTGTAAAGTGAAACTATAAACTATATAAAGTGATTTGATTTTACTAAGTTGGGCCCAAAGATTATTTCCGGCCTGAACCGATCTCTCTGGCTGACATGATATTGGCCTGACATGACCCAAAAAATGTAAGGAACATTCAAATGTTTTTGTTATTAATTGACCGTTCGGATTGAAAGGACTGCCAGTATTGATGTGAACATTATGGAGAGAAGATGTCAACGCCATGAGCACTTGTATCTTTACCTGCAGGTACGACATTGGCCAAGACACACTCCACGGCCTGGAAAGGTAGCATGAGGAAGTCTCCGCGTATTTGACGTAGACAAGAGTTATCCACTGTCATGTATCCACCGTAGTCCAGAAACTTGACTTCTGTGGTGTTGGTCTCCTCGTCCACAGTCATGATCTGCGCACGGTACCAGCCACCGTGCGCAGGCGCCACGCAGACCACGTTGGGCTGTGGCTCAACCAGCGCGGGGCTCTCCTGCGTGTTGTACACAGTGTTCATCAGGCAAGCCAGCTTGTAAAGGCACTGATAGGAGAGATGCGAAGGCATCTGTAGGAAGAAGTTGCCTGCAGTGATGAGGCTTGAGAGGATCACATCGTTGTTGACTCCTTCCACCAAGTGCAGCTAGCGGGGAAAAAACAGAAAACAATCAGTTCACTCTCCCCTTCCCACCTTTATATGGTGTATAAGTGTGATTTTTTGTCACAATAATTTTGTTTGGAAACCCAAAATGGAGTATTTTGGGGGCATTTCAGAAGTTTAAAATGTAAAGCTCCATTAAAATGCATCTAATTTTAAAGGTCTTTTTGTCAGAAGAATATTATCAAAAACTATAAATATTTGCGCACAGGTCCCCTCGTAAGTGGTTAAATCCACAATTAAAGCTTAAAATACCTAATCACCCTGAAACAAGATTTCCCCCAAAAACAAATTTTGCACCAAAGCAAAGGCAACATCAAAACAAGACAAATCAGATTTATTGACATGTTTTACTAGAAAATCTTTGCAAGATACATTATATACAGATCATAAAGAAACTTACTTGCAGGCTTTCAAAATCCATGGGCATGCATGGGTCCTTGACAAAAGACACTTTCTCCAAGGTAAGGTCTGGGAATCTCCTGATTGGAAACTTCTGTCGAATCATCTTCAAAGCTGCATCAATGTCTTGTTGGGTTCCTGGTAAAGATCCAGTTGATTACAATTAATTACTGTTTATACTCACAGCCAAGGTATCTTATTATACAGGGTGTCCTGCAAAGAGGTTTAGTCAATTGATCTTATTTTACTTGACTGTTAAGTGTTTATGCACCTTTATGCCTTTTTTTAAACGTAATACAATTGATTAAAAATAGGTTTTAAAATATTGTGTAAACACTTCAGCTTCTTTTTTGTTCAAACATTTGTTGGAACAAAAAGGTGGCAAATTAAAAAATTACCTATTTGATTTTGAAACAAATTATTTTTTTTTTCTTGACTTTGTTTACTGCGTTGCACACTATTGATACTTATTGGTGAACACCTGTTTGATTGAATAATATCGCCTGAACCATAAAAACATAACCCAACCTTCTCAAATGCAATTTTACTGATTGCAACAGTAGCAATATCCTAAACACACACACATAAACAATTAAAAAAAGTAAAAAAAGTATAAGGAAAGTTTTACCACTTTCCTAGCAAACTGAACTAATCCTAGCATTCTTAGGAGCAAAAAACTTATTTAAATATCCCAAAAGTTTGCTTACTACACATATAATCTTACCACAAACCTACCAGCTGTAAAAGATTCCCTACAACTCTATGATAGTAACGACGAATAAGTCACACCAAGGAGAGAAGAGAGTCGATGATATCGTAGCGTTGACACAATTGTGTATGCAATGGTGATAAGCACACATTTTTTGCAATTAACTACAAACAGCAGGTGTGGCTCGACAAGTGTTTGGTTCACAGACGTCATTGGAATGGTGTTCTTGATATTCAGTGTTCACAATTTTATTTATGTTGAAAATCCAATTGTAAGCAAAGTTTTTAGGATGATAAATAAGCTACTCATGTGAAGATGTCACCAAGTTTGCTGCCTTATTTTGGTTCAATTAAAGTAACTAAAATGAATGTTAAACAAATTTGTGTACTTTGGTGTCATAAATTGTATTATTCTAGCTCATCTCTTTAATCCCTTCTTGACAAACCAATTCTTTCCAGAAAGTTTCCTTGCCAGGAAGTTTCCTCCGCGGAAGATAAGAACTATTCTCTTCAGAAAAGTTCATAGAGGTATTCAAGACTGAGCATTAATTAAATATAGGTCATAAACAGCTCAGACTTTTTAACAAAGTTTAAATCAAGGTAAAATTCTGAGGTTATCCTTGGGATATTAGCCTATACAGCAAACCAAGTGAAATAACAATAAAATATTAAAGCATTGCATTTGCAGTTGAGACAATAAGGTATGTTTCCTATACAGTTCATGGCTTCAATATTAATGTTTAGAACATAAAACGCAACACGGTTACCCAAAATAAGCCTGTGAGGGCACTCTCCAACCCTGCCTTCACTGACAGCTGCAGCGATGCTTTTAAAACATCACCCCTTTCAACTCCAAAAACCTTTAATACCCATTAAGTTCTAATGAAAAGATAACCTGGACTTTTCAAGGAATCAAGACTTTCACTCCTATAGCACCGGAACAGCTACCGACATCAGTCTTCCCGTCAACCATACAACACAATTCAAAAAAACCCTTTTACATTGTAATAAGATCTGACTGGTAGAACAACCTTTTTTACTCGATAAAAGTTTTTCGATAAATTATAACAAATTTTACTTCTTTACAGCAAGAAGTACCTGCATTTGTTGACACCATCGTATTTCTTTGAGAAAACACAAATAAATAGAATTGTCTGTTGTTTATTATCTATTACCAACAAATATTAAGAAACAAGCACCCACCTTCAATAGCACAAATCTTGAGGCTGCTGGTTTCCGGGTGTTTTTTTATGAAGACGTGTGTATGTGTCTTGGCGCGTATGTCGTGTAGGAAGGTTCCATGTCGGCCGATGAGCCGGCCTACTATGACCTGAGGCAGCACAAACTCATACACGGAGGGAGCTAGGTCCCCCGCCACACTGGAGCCCCCCGCGGGGGTACGGGACGGCGGGGTCACGACATCACTGCAACCTTTCCCACTGTCACTAGAGCCCTGCGGATATTAAACAATAGTAAAACCTCAGGTAATTGTTAATCATGGAGATATCATCAATGTCTTGTTTCACATTCTTTAATAATAGGCCAAGAAAACTATTTCAAACATTTTTCACGCTAGTGCTAGAAGTTCAGCAGAATTACCGCTTATCTAAAGCCATAGGTATTTGAATGGATAAGAACCCAGGACATTAGAGTCCGAGGTTGTACCTGTTCTGTACCTTAACACAATAAAAGTTCAATCCTATGAGGAATAAACTATTTTTAAACTTATTAAACAAATAGAAGATTCTTTTCTTTAAATATATAGAAAAGGAATTAAAAGAACAGACTGTATATTGTATATGAAATAAGTAAGCTACTCAACATCAGAAAGTACTTTTATTTGTGTTGTAAGTCACAAACAATTTTTCGATTCAAAGTAATATGGGTGACGTTATCCACATATCAATTCATTGAACATACATTAGCCCATACGACAGCTCACTCATTGGGCCACAAATGAGGAGACATTTTGAGACAAGGAGATGAGGAAAAGGATATTTTGAAAAAATCTATTAGATTCAGAACATTTCACGTGTTGTTCGAGAAAGTGTAAAATGATTTACCTCCAAAATAAAATTAATATCCGTAAATAATTATGATTTATTTAAGCTGGTCTACTAAGTTGTTAATGATTTTACAGGATTTTGGACTACATTTTAACAACAAAATATAAAAACATAGAGGTTACATAATGCTTTTCTGTAACAGTAGATTTAAATTTAAAAATGATGATGAAAAGAAATCAAACATGAATTGGACATTATTTCGAATAAGCTAGTTGACATTACATGTGATGATGATGTTAGGATGAAGCAGATAAGCCATAAAGCGGTGCTTCCCACAGTTGCAGCAGAAATCCTACCAATATAATAATGAACCACATATAATTCCGTTATGTGTATTGTTCAAAAGAATTGGAAAAGCATGATTTGAAACTTAATGGATAAAATTTCTTCATTCTTACTAAGGTAACTCTCATTTAATGCTATTCTTTAGAGTAATCTAACGACAGTAGGACTAATTTTTTTGAAAATGTTGTTACGTAAAATATTTAGAATCTTCGTAAAACAATCTTGATCAAATCTTTAATTTGAGCCACTTTGTGCTTTGGCTTCCCTCCAAGGGCTTTTTTAAAACATGATTAAATTTTGTAATTGTTTTAATACATTAAAATTTCAATTATCCTAGTTTATTTGATTATCCGAGCTAAACCAGCCTCAACAAACACGGTTGGATAAGCAAAATGCAGCATTGGAAATAAAAATAAAAAAAACTATTATAAAAATTATGAAAAACATTAGATTACTGTAATTAAGTTGTACCTCATTGTCACCATATTCAAGGCTCTGTTTTCCATTTAAACCACTAACTTTTTTCATTTGCAAGCCATTTGCCACACCACAGCTTTAAGGACAAAAACTGTGTAAGTATAGCATTGTACAGTACATATATCCTAGGTGTACTCTATTTTTTTTTTTTTTTTTTTTTTTTTTTTTTTTTTTTTACTAAGCATAAATTGACGCAATGCAGCCCCTAACACAATTTTAACTAACATAAACCACACTAGGCCTACCTAGTTAGTCGATACTGCTAATACAATATTTTTGTCATTGTGTGATATAATTCACCCGTAAAGAACCATTTCCATATCGGCTCTATCTGACAGACAAAAATAAAAGCAACAAACCCATTCAGGGAAGGTAGGAAAGGTCCATAGGTAGAGAGGAGGTGGAATCGGAACAAACGTGTGCGGCCCATAGTCAAACGTTTCTACCTTTGGTGGTCTCCCGCAGTCAAGGGGTTCACAACGGCTCAACCAACTCATGACCTAGCAACAATGGGCAGTCAGCATGCATATAAGACCCTATCTAGGTTACAAACTGTCGGAATCCCAGGTATGTTAGAACCACTCTTGTTAGTTATGGGTTGACTAACCTTACTGTTTGCCAAAATAATTCATTAATTAGTACTTTGGCACAGTAAAAGCCCGCTAATCCAGCATCCGAGAGTCCGGCAATTTCAATAATTTTGGTCTCAAGGTTTGAAAGGACTTTTTTCGGTTTTAAATAATTTAAGCGTGATCATCAGATGACGGGAGCCATTGGCTAATGACTAGAGCGATTGGCAGATATCGGTTGAATTTATTATTTAGCGGTAGTCTGGCAATAACAGCGGTTTTTAAAAGACATTAAAAAATTCAGCAGATTCAAAGTCCTCAACATGTCAGATTAGCGAGCGTCTACTGTAGAAAGTTCATCTCGAGCTATTATCTTGGGCATCACATTAATACATCTAGACATTACATTTTCTTTTTGATCTCTCCAGACGACAAAAACGATGTTTTTAAGGTCTCTGGTACCCACACAGGGTAGCCATAACATACCAGGTTTGCTGATGCTTATAAAAATGTATAAAATAACCAGTTCTATCTGGTAACAGCTAGTTTTCATGCTAGTCAACCTTAAACGATACTTGCTTCCGACAGTTTGATCCCGTAGTATATGGCCAGCCTTACTTTACATTAAAAAGACAAAACTTCATCATGTTGATTACTGTGATTAACAAAAACAAAATAAGTATAATTTTCATTAACATAGGCTTAACTTACTAAATACCTTTCAAATTCACTACCATTGCAGTAGCTCATCGCCCAAATAAAAAGAATATAAATAGTTCACCTCACCTTTTGAATTATAGATCGTGACACGTAAGCTGGCACTTGACCGATCGCTACTAGCCTCTAGTTCAAAACATTATGTGCCGTCATGCGGGTGGCATCAAATGTCCTCGCAACTCTCGTAGAGTCAAGCACATGAAACACGAGGAGCCAACTCCTGTGAGTCAGCGGAAATGTTTGCAGTCCGGTCCTTTCCTTACCTTCACCCTCCCCCGCCAACACTGCCCGCGCTAGGCCCAAGTGCCAGCTTACGTGTCACAAGCTACAACTCAAATTCCAGCTTTTGAATTATTTTCAGGCTATCAATAAGGACTTTGTTTAACCCAAAATATTCCCATATAAAATCAAACCTGTGGACCTAATTTACAGGTTTTAGATTAATTATTGTATCACTATTGACTAACCTCACTGTGTGCGTCTGAGAATGTGCTGATGGCAGGACTGTTCAGCATCACCTCGGCCGGACTGTGATTGGCTGAATCACGTTCACTGCGCTGCGCCGGCTGTTGTGTTGTGTCCAATCCCAATGACGCCAGTTTCTCCTCCAGCCCAGTTGTGTTACTTTCATTCTTCTCAGTCTTCTGTCCCTGAGCCATCGTGTTCTCTTCCACTGTGGAAGGATCTTGACTGCCCAGTCCGGTGTCCACTGACGTGTTCTCTGTGTCCGTGCTGCTAGAGGCGCAGTTGTTGTCAATCACTGTCGCTTCACTGGTATGAGACTCTTCTATGACAGTTTTCTTGGTAGGATTGTACTCCAAAGTACTTTGATCTTCAAATGCAACTGTTAGAGTCTGTTCTAGGTCTGCAGCTTCAGGTTGATTTGACTCACAACACTGTTCAGACTTTTCTGCTTCTTTCTCGCAGACTTCTTCTACACAAACTTCTTCCTCTTGTATGAGCACCAAATTGTAGTGCTTTTCTTCAAAATCTTTCTCAGACTCGATGATGGTGCTGTGAAAAATCTGATTGTTTTCAAAGTCCTGACAAGGATTTTCTTCTTTGGTCTGAACAGCAGAACTGTTGCATACAATTTCTTTGATCTCTGCACAATCAGTTTCAAGAGATTTTACCAACTCAGCCGCTTCTTCTTCAATAGATTTTCGGAAACACTCTTCTTTGGCGACTGTCTTGGCCACCACAGCTTCTTCTACAGATGGTTTCTTCACTTCTACAGCTGTCTTGATTGCTTCTACAGTCTCGATCTTCTTCTTGATGACCTCACTTGTCTGTGGGTCTCCTTTGATTGCAGTATCACCTGGTTTCGGTCGCACTGGAGTCCCGCCGGGGTCACTGCGTGACAGACTCTTCCTGCGCTTGAACCAGAAGAACGCGACGAGCGCGGCGAACGGCAGAGAGAGGATCACAAGTTGTCTGGGCTGACACGGGACCATGGTTCCTCGCCACTTTGCCAATTGTTGATCTGAAACAACAAAAACAGTTTTAAGAAATAAAAAATTATTTAGCAAATTTGTAAAGTCAAGGCTTTTATCACTAGCTATTCATTGAGCTAAAAATAAATGTACTACATTCAATATACCCCCGCCACAGCAAACCTGCAGACTAAGCGAATTTCCATTTGACTGATTGGATTTACACTGAAATGTCTACTTAAAAATATAACATTTATTCTTGATTTAAATAGAATTAGTTTAACAAGTACTTAGGTTTGCTACATCAGGGAGGGTAAAACTGTTTTTTTTTTTTGTAAAATGTGAATAGTTAGTAAGAAATAAAAACATTTTCCAAATTTGATCAAAATATGTTCACAAACAAGCAAACTACAACAACAGTTTACTTATTCTCCATAAGAATAACATGGGAATTTTAAATTTACAATTTTTTGGAATTTTCTCCGTAACCATTAGGCGCATAATAACGCTTCAATATACTAAATTATTTGTTTTTTTAAGCTCTACAAAATGGTTTGGAAAGAAATTGCTAAATTTTATCTTTTTTGGGTCAAAAATGGGAAAAACCTATTTTTACCCCATAAAACCCCCGTTCCCATGGTCCGATCATGCTGGATCGCGAACTCGTTCGAATAAACGTACGTTTACACGTTTGTACCAAATCTCATCAAAATCGGATCATTTTTGCTCGAGTTATCGCGCTGACGGGACACATATATATATATGAATTTGAACGGATGGTGTTTTTGACCTCTAGGGACCTCAAAACGAAAAAAAAATTCGGTCCCGCGTCCAGGTCTTACCATGAGTACTACGGTAATAGCTTATTCCCTATATGGGAAATTCGCTAAAAAAGGTAAACTCCTGGAAAAATGTATGACAACAGTTAATTCAAATGAGAACACGATAACTAGAGAAATTTTGGCCCGATATTGGTGTAATTCGCCAAGAATGTGTAGGAATGAATAAACGTTAAGTTTGTGAACCAGCAAGCTTAGGTAATAAGAACAGGATGTTATGAGGTTTCAATTTTTTTTTAAATCATGATATGCTCAATTATCATTACCACCCTTCTATAGAGCTTAAAAATTGTATATTAAAGTGTTGTTGTACGATTAAAGGTTACGGAGAGAAGTTTAACTGTTGTAGTTTGCTTGTTAATGTTTATGGATGTATGTTGATCAAATTTGGCTAACTTATTTATGACAACCTAAACCTAAGTACTTGTTAAACTTCATTATGTTACTTAAACAGTGAATTAAAGTAATATGCTACATTGTAAGAAAACGTATTTAGTTTATCCATTTAGAAATTTATTTAGTCTGCAGGATTTCTGCGGCGGGGGTATTTCCTACTGATAACTATCATATCAGGTCTACAAAAATTTACACTTATTATTTTTTTTGTATACCATTGATAAAACACAATGTGTACTCTATGCAGTTATTCTTATTTTAATGTGGTTTCAGTAAAATTCTTGGTTGGCATTAGTCACTAACCACTTCACCCTAAACATTGTTTTTGTAGACATGATGTTAATTTTGGAATACCGTATTTTCAAATATAGCAGACTGAACCAGGTTACATCCTTGAGTTTGACACTAAATCTGCCGAAACTGACGACAGTTTAATGGCTGACTTGTCTATACCAGTGTCTTCAAGGCTCCAGTGAATGTCGCCTGTTTAGGCACCGAGCCAACCTACATTTCTGGATTGTCAAAAATTCTTATGTTCAGCATTATCTCTTCTCAAGTATTAGATATATAGTCAATAATATTACCAAAATGAACACCGCACAACGGTAATACTCTAACACTTTTTACCAACTGCCACAGCAAATTCCTCCAATTGCGTTTTTGCCACATCCATGTCCAACATACTGAGAGAGGGGAAGTGATGGATATAATTTCACTGACAGCAGAAGGAAATGTGTCATCATAATTTGATATCACAACATCAGCACACTGTAGTGTAGGCCTACAGCGCATACAACTCATTCACTATTGCAATATAACCAGAATCACAGTAAGATATATTATGAATCACTGCAAATACAGTTAAAGATGTTTTATTAAACCTACCTATTCAATTGTAACCTCTCGTGAATTTTAATGAGTGAAAATAATTATAGTACCACCAACAGTTTTTGTTGGTCATGTAACTGAATGTCACATCAAAGGAACACCTTAACTAAGTTACTCCTCTATCTAATAGAACAAAATTAGCCAAAGAGTTATTTTCAAATATACCGCAATGAAAGATTGCAATAGAAAATATGTTTGGAAATTGAATAATTGAAAAAGGGCAAAATTTTATGAAAGATAAAACCCAAAAGGGATTGATCTGCAGCCCTTTAGTCTAGACAAGGGTTGGTGGGGGGAGGGGAGGTGAATGTGCTCTTGACCTACAATGTGATACATTCTACTGATGTTGCCTACTCACTTTCATGCCTATCCTACACGGTAAGAATGAAATAAAAAACAATATTGTGAATTTATAAAATATTAACTGTAGAGTAAACAAGATTAGGAAATTATGTTTGAAATAATATTAGCTCACTAACTGTACAGTATTCATATAAAAAATCAATAATCCTAGTTTTTTAAAGAAAAATTATTTACTTTTTTTTTAGAAAACTTCAATTAGAAGTAATAATTCAATAACATACATATACTACAGAACTAGTAAACATATAACTGTTTATTTGTATTTTAACTCTATAGACCTTTTAGAGACCTAAATATTATAGCCTACTTAATACATTTTAAAACATAAATGTTTTAAACTGTTTTAATCAACTTACAGCCTCTTATATTGACAGTATGTGAGTAATGTGGGAATACCAATCAATAGAGTGTGTAATAACTAATCATACATTAAGGACTTTATTTCCATAATTTAACCCAATTTGAACACAAATTTGGTAAAATTATACTATTATGTATTTTATTCGGTTTTATAAAAATATCAATTCAATGAACAAACATAACCAATTCCCTATTCAATGCGTTTGTAATGATTACAAATTATTAGAGGATAATAACCTTTATATTTATTTTATTTTTAGAACAAACTAACAATTGTGATCGTGATTATTAAAAATCATGAAAATAGTATCTACTTGGTTATCTATTGACTATTCGTATTGACTGGGACTGGTGGCGTCCTGTAATCCAGCTACTAGGAGGTCACGAATTGTGGATATTTATAGGGATGCACTGTGGATGCGATGCTCCCTGGTGTGGATTAACGTCCGCACTAGTGAGTATGCTACTACGACTATCTGCAGTACTATCCTGATAATTAGACCAATTCGTAAATTACAAGGAAAAAATGTGGTTCGGATTCCACTATAAACTGTAGGTCCCTTTTCCTTAGTTGCCATTAGCTGTATGGGCTATTAATTAACAGCTGTGTCTAAGGAACATGTCGGCCTTAGTCACTAACAAGACTACAAGATCGCGCCACTCATCCTACACTCATCCTTCACTCATATTTGGGTTAAAATACGCACATAGTGGCGTCCCCATCTTAAATAATTGATAATTGATAATTGATTGATCTACCAAAAAGAGAGGTCATATTCAAATATGTGAACTCGGAATTTAAAAATAAAAATTAATAGCTAGCCTATCTATTTGATTCAGTTAAAAAAATACTGAGCAAATATCTAAGAATGAGATTTGGGAACAGAAAAAATAATTAGAGTTTAGAAAGTACCAAGCAGTGAGGGTGGAAAAAGGGACAAGGGTGTATTGTACAGGGTAGGTGATGGGTTGCTTCCCCCTCCACCCAAACCACCCACACATTCTCACCCATACACCCACAAACTGACCTACAACCCCTAGCCCCTTCTTGAGGAATCCTTATCTGCTCCCCACACACTACACAGGAACCCACCCCAATTTGTCCTTCAATAAGCCCTTTCCTGGATTGGACTTGGTTATGGTGGATTTTTTAGATAGGTATATCATGTAAATTTACTGTGTAAATGTTTTGTAGGATTTTAATCATTTTACATAGAATTTTAAGATTTGGTTGACATAATATTATGTGATTTGTTATTAAAGAGAACTAAACCTAAAGCTTATAATTCCTTGTCATTATTACCTGATTTAAATTATTCCTTTAGAACTCTGTTTAATTCATAGCCTATTTTTTTTCTGGCTCATACGACAGATATTAACATTACCCCAGATACATAATATAGATGTTACATTAACATGGTGATGTCAGCCAGAGACAATATTCATCATCATTTTTATTTAGAGAATACAAGGGTTTTAACTTTTATAAAAATATAAAACAGTCGTGGTACCAACTAATATAAACTGTGGTTCAGCTTATACAGACCGAAATATAAAGGCTTGCATAGTCACAAATAGCTTTCTTTAACTCAAAACACCCCATTTTGAATCTTGTAAAAGCCCGGTTTATTACATCTCCAGCATACAGGGACCACGTTTGATAATTAATTCTAAGTGGTATATTTGGTGAGATATGGTGATCATCTGTCAGTAAATTTGCCTTTTATAAGTATGGAGATGAAAAGAAAACAGAATTATTTATGTAAGGATAAGAGTAGATGTTAATGTTATTTTGTACCGCTTTACCAGCGCCGTCTCAATACGCGATGCAACATACGAGCACACGTGTACGGCGGGTGGCTTGGTTCGTTTGAAGGCGCTCTGCTATTATTGGTTCATTCCCAATTGGCAGAAGAAATCGTTTGTGGTCCGGTATGACTGGTTTACAACAATTTAAAATGTGTAGTTTTTCAAAAAATAGTATAAGGTCAGCTATTAGGTAAACTAATTAAATTTATTTTTTCCAATATTTGATCAATTAGTCCGTAGTTTTCAACATGATTTAAATACAAAATATCAATGTAGGGCCAAAAATTGTTATAAATATTAGGAAATTTGAAAAAAAACGTGTGTTTCAAGTTTTTAAAAAATTTATAGATAAAAAAATAAATATGAGTACAAAAAATGTTTCGTGAAACGTTAGG